CGATCCCCTGTGCCTCTCGAGAAGGGGCAGGGGCTTTTCTGGTTACAGTCTCCCTGGGGTCCCTGCGCTCTGGGGCAGCTCCTGGATCTCTGGGACTTGGCGCTCCCTCCATCTCCTACACATCTTTATACAAGCATGTGTACACACACAGGTGCTCACATAAGTATGGACTTGGGCACGTTCAACACGTCTTAAGGCTGTGGTTGGCACTAACTGCACTGTGATTTATTATCGTGTGATTGTTTAGTAAAACAATGTTGATTTTACATTTATGCAGTGATAGCTTGCTCCTGTTGTATTGTTGTGTTGTTTTTCTCTTTCTGCAGGACTAGAAGCAGACTCTTGTTCATCATTGATTATTTATTTTTGTTCAGAGAGAAAGTGCAATCTGTAAATGGAGGAGGTGATTTTTGGACTTTTCACTGTATTTTGCACCAGGAGAGTTTGTGTTGCAAGTCATTAAAGACGGATAACGTCATGAAAGTGGTCACCCAAACTGTTAATTTCGTCCAATACAGAAGCCCGAATCACCGTCAGTATGACAGCCTTCTCAGAGAGAACGACCACATCTATAGCCTGCCATACTACAATGGGGTAAGGTGGTTAAGCCGAGGTGCCGTGCTGAGGCGTTTCTATGATTTACGAGAAGAAGTTGAACAGTTCATGGAAGAAAAGGCAAACCAGTGTTAGAATTTTGTTCTGCAGAATGCGTGCAGGACCTTGCTTTAAGGTGGATGTTACAGAGCACCTTAATGACTTGAACAGCTGCAAGGCCGCAACAAAGTTGTCACGCAGTACTACGACTGCATACGTTCTTTCAAGTTAAAGCTGTCTTGGTGGGAGACGTGACTCGCTGTTAGTGACGCAGCTCACTTCCCCTGTGCGTGCGTCCCAACACGAAGCCGACATGAAGCGGTTCACAGATAAAATAACGGGACTGTTGAGGGAGTCTGAGCTACGCTTTCAGATTTTTGGTGAACTTGAGAAGGACTTCCAAATTTTTTGCTGCCCATTCACCGTGAATCCCTCTGATCTCCCCGCCAGCATCCAACTTGAAATAATAGACTTGCAGTGTGACTCGGACTTGAGGGGCAAACCTGCCACAGCTGGCTTTCACACATTTTATCAAAACCTTTGACCTGGTTACCCCAACTTGAGCGTGTTTGGAACCACTTATCTTTGTGAGCAGGTTTACTCTGTAATGAGTAAAATAAAACAAAGCTGCGCTCGAGGCTCGCTCAAGAGAACCTGAGTCACATCCTGAAGTCGGCTGCCGCTCAGGGTGTGACTCCTGATGTTGATGCTCTGGTGAAAGCTAAAGGATGTCAGGTATCAGGAAACTCTCTGATAGCCATGTGATCTCAGGTGTTTTATTAATAGTGATGTTGTACTTGTACTGTGTTGGATACACTGTCCTCAGGCCCCAGCCTTGTTTTATATCGATTGTATTAAAACAAAGAAAACAATCTGAAGTTGTTTAATTTACCGGTCCGGCCCACTTGGGACTGCATTTTCCTCAACGTGGCCCCTGATCTAAGATGTGTGTGTGTTGTTCTGTATTGTTCGTTGTGTTCAAATATATATTTTTAATACTGTTGAAAATTATTTTTAAATCTTAATAAAAAGCTCTTGTTAAGAAAAAAAACTTTCTTTATGAATCACAAAGTTTGTGTAAAAAATGACTTTTATGCAAGTTTCAGGTCCGTTTATAAACGAGGCCCACGCCTGTGCCTGACCTGCTGTTGCTGCAGCAGAAGCAGAGCTTCTCAGGGAAGATGGAGGCGTGTCTGTACCTGTGGAGCTTTGGTGAGGAGAAGAGCCACCTCCGGGTTGTTGTGATCTCTGGCCTGGTCCAAAGCTGTCTGATGCAACTGTAGAAAAAAGCTCAAGTTGACCTTTTAGTCCCAGGTAAAAACACACGAGGTGGACAGTACAACGAAAAGTGCACGATGATGAGGAATGTGTCAAACCAGGCACGTCCAAAGGGACAGCTACTCTGTGCACTACTGATGCAGACGGACCCTTTCTAACGCCTGTCTGTCCAGACTGATGCAAAGATGCAAAGATGCAAAGATTTCAAAAAGTTCTTCAGATCAAAAGTTAACAGCTGTTACTTAATTTAACCATTGAGATTCCCAACCTAGGCGCTGAGCAGCCAGTACGGTCCGATGGCTACACAAATGGTACCCAGAAGGGTTGTCATGGCAACAGCAGATCTGGTGGCAGCTCTGCATTTATGCTACTAGGCTAACTTATCAAGCTGGGACAAACTGTGTGTTTATTTCTCCTCTTCAGCTGAAAACACAGCTCGTCAAAATAAAAGCATCATTCCAAACACAGAGAGCACGATGCACACGCATCATGTGATCTGCGTTCGTTTTACTAAAGTTTTCCTTTCTTACAGTTGAATGTTTTCAGTGAAAACGTATTTTTCGAATTCTGTGCAACCTAAAAAACAGAGTTGCTGCTTAAAAAGGTTTATTTCTGCAGGCGGCACAAA